GCAAAATAGGTTTAGCGCCACCGCAGCACGGGAGGGAGAATTACACCCAGGAGCAAATGGATAAAAATAGACCGGAGGACAAAGAAAAACATGAATGGATACTCTTGCGGACGTGTCGATGCATCGGATCGTCGGCTGATGGATCGATGCGTCGATACAAAGCGATTTTTATTTACACCCCTAATCAGAACCTTATCTTTAGTACGGAGATTAGCTCTGTGCTTTTGGGTTTGAGGTTCTGGATTTACGGCTCCTTCCACTGTGTGACCCTGAGCAGGGTCATCAGATATGGATGATGAACGAGCATCTCTGTCACCCTGCTGGACATCAGAGTAGGGTTGTTGCTCATTTGCAGCAGTAGAACATGACTACGTTTTTCTGACGTTGTTCCCTGTTCTGGACCCTGATCTCTGAGGGAAACGGACTCAGTAGCGATATGAGGACCGTTAGGATCAGTGTTACTGCAGATTACAGCCTAATGAAGCATCAGACCCTTCAGCCTGAGCTTTTAGCTCTGAGCCGTCTCCTCCTCAGCAGCACTCAGCCTCCTCTCCATCTCTATAACGACATTAGCCATCTCATCCTCTGCCATAAAGCGTATTAGCAGCAGCAGGACGGGCTGCGGCTTCTTTCCTTCACGTCACTGAAGATCATTTTACATCATCTGCTGCTGTTCTTGTTTTCTCTGTTAAAACAAGCTGGCTGCTGCTGATGCAGACATGTTTGTTCTTATCCTGAACCTGATGATGGTTTGGGGGGGTAAAAAAGAAAAACCCCCTCAGGACCCAGACAGCAGCTGCAGAACCAGAACATGCATCATAATGCAATAAAATGTCAGAGGAGTATCTGATGAGCATCGTTTTACGTCTCCAGAGTCCTGTGGAGGCTGATGGAGGATAAGAGCAGCAAGCAAAGAGCCCTCCTCTCCCTCCGGGCGCTTCCAGACATACAGAACCAATCCAATTCTATAAAGAATGATGCGGGCGGTGTGGTCTGTTTATTCCTGATGAGCCTTCAAGAGACTCACTAATCTAAGCTAGCTAAAGCAGGCCTCTGGTAGGATGGTAGAACTTAGATGATCCTGAGCTTCATTCAGCCCAGGATGGATCTCTGCTCTGATTATGGCGCCGTGGTTAGCGCTCACTTCTGATAATTTGTGTGTGAAAAGCTAAACCAGTGTTGAGTGAAGGGAGCCTCCGCCGTGCTCTACAGCTCATGTCAAAGCTCAGCCTGTTATAGTTTGCCAACAGAAACAAATCTGCCTTCCAGGATAATCTGTGTTTGACACGGTCTGTGTTTGTGTTTCTATCCGAAATGAAATCTTTTTACTGTTGATATCAGAATCAATTTGGGTTATTTCTGTTTATTTAAGTTGGTTTTAAAGTTTTCATTTATTTTGTGTCCATTAAGAGTCACTACATCAAAAGTACATGCAGACTAAACGGGATCTTAAAGATCTGCCTTAAACCTTGTTTAGCTCGTTCAGCTCTATAACTTATGAGAGCGTCGGAGGCGCCGGCGGAGATGGATCTAGAGTTGCTAGACATCAAAGAGGAACAGGTTCTGTTAATGGAGTTTGCAAAAAGACCAATTACCCTGTCGTCGTAGTTTTTCCATTATAGTTGTTCCTCAGTTTTTAAAAATGGCGCTCCCTGGCACCGAATCGAGAAGGACGACCACACAGACAGCCAGAAAGGCATACCAAGGACCAATCACAGCTGCTTTTTGTCTGCGCACTTCCGCTTGAGGTCTGCGCGGGTTTGCGACCATCCGACTCGGTTACAGAACCTCTGCGCGGTGGGCGTGGTCGCACGCAGAGACAGATTTGACGGTTGCAGAGGCTATGCATCAGAAGCATCAATTAGCCTAAGTTTCATCGTGCCCAACCCGGGTTCGAATCCGAATCTGTGGTCCTTTGCCTTTTCCTGTCAGCCTACTGTGCAAAAACACGAGCCACTAGTGCTGTAACAACGGACCTCTTTGTGTCAGTAACCTGTATCATCTCCTTCTTTAGTTTGGTCTTCCTGACCCATCTACTTTCTGATTTTCTGTACTCTGGTCACATGATACAGTAACATAAAGCTTTATTTCATGGTATGATATGCAACAATAATCTGAGCTAAGAGGACTTGTTGATTATGAGTCATATACCCCGTTTACACTACCCTTAAAAAACTGAGCCGAGACCGGTCCGAGCTCAGTAACTGAGATAACTTGTCGTGTGTGAACGGAAACAACCTGAACTGAACCGAGATAGACATAACCGGACCGCGCTAACTGCAGACCAGTTCCCGAGGTGGGTTCGGCTCGGTTTTTTCCTGGCTCGGTTCTCTGATAACAAGAGCGCATGAGCAGAGCGCGTCATCGCCGACTGGCTGAACATGCCGATTCACACTCCATTCCAGAAAGTCGGCTTCCCAAAAGCCGACTTTCTCAAGTACATCCGCGCAAGGTTGCCGAGTTCGCCTGACCGACTGCAAACACGGAAGTACAGCAATAATAATCAAGCATAACTTTCTGAATGTGACGGGCGCCGCCATTTTGATTTGCTTGATTCCCTCCTCCTTCGTCTTCTTCTTCTTGGGTTTTACGGCGGTTGACAAACAGCGTTTGGTGCATTACCGCCACCAGCTGCTTGAGTCCCTCCTTCAATCCTAGCAGTAATACCGCACATCGTCACTAGGAGGCGAGGAGTCAAGGAGTCGAGATAACCGAGATAAGTGTGACGTGTGAACGGTCGTCAAAACTGAGCTTGGCCTGGTTACCGATCCAAGCTCGGACCGGTCTCGGCCTGGATCGGTTTTTCAAGGGTAGTGTAAATGGGGCTTTAGAGGCCCAAGAACACAGCCTTGAGGAACCCCATCTGATCTTTGTTCAGCCATATTTAGATCCATCAACTCAAAGTCCAGGTTTATCATTTTAATCATTATGATTTCTGTGATCACGTGGTGCCGCTATTAGACCTTGCTGTTCACAATTTTGTGGATTTTCTATTTTCATGTCTTTATATTCCTGATTCTTAGTTCTTCAGTCGAGCTCTTTAATTTACCAGCTGTCTGGATGTTTTAGAGATCCCTTATCCAGAACCCGTTTTCATTCTGGTTTTGTTTTGAAGGTGGAACAGAAAATCTGAAAATCCTGATTAAGATGATTAGTAAACTGGCCTGGATCCATTTTCTTTTCTGGTTCTGGTCGACTGGTCTTCAGTCTGACAGAAACCTGCCTAACTGGACCGCTCTTATGCCATTTTGTTCCAACATCCACTGAGCGATGTTTAGATTGATGGTATCATGGTGACCAGCCTCCATTATCTCCATTAGCCTCTGAACGCAGCAGCATTTCAACTGCCTGCTGGAGAGCTTTCATTTTGCTCATGCTCAGTCCGCTCTCAGGCTGTCTGTGAATGAATGAAAGTCTAATGAGCTTCTGTAATTCTGCTGAAGCTAATCAGTGATTATTTAATAGATTTTAAATGGAGTCAGTAAAGAAAGTCGTTTTTTCTTATTGTTTTAGCTATTTTCTTGCTGCAGATGAAAGCTAAATGTACAGAATATGTTCACCTGCTTTATGATGTTGTTCTTGGTGAAAAGCAGAGGATGTAAAATGAGATGCTCTGATCTGGTGTTACAGCGACATCTGCTGGTCAAACACCTGCACTGGTTTGGTTCTGGAGGACAGGTCCATTTCTAAGGATCTGAATTAATGGAGAGAATTTAAAAGATTGATGTCCCTCATTTAAACAATAAATAAATCCTGATCAGCTGATGAAGCATTAGAAATTGCAGAGGTTTCCTGCTCCTCCAGATGGATGCCAATAGTTTGACCAATGAAAACAAAGATTCAATGTTCCTACAGTGATCTGATGTCTTAGAATGGCCTGCAACTGTTTGGGTTTAAAGCTTTGGAGCTGGTAGCTAACAGAACTTTTTTCTCTGTGTTTTCTTTGTTTCAGAAGGAGTTGAGCCTTCCCAGAAGAGGCAGTTTGTGAGTACCTGCAATCCTCTGATTCCCACATGGAAATGTTTGGAAAGAGCAACGAGCCAAACGGGTTTTATCCAGAACATGGGTTCTGTGTGGAGCCGCTGCCTGGTAACAGGTGATGGAGGTTCCAGGATGAAAACAAATGCGGTGGAACAGCTGGTCCTTCCTTTAAAGATGATTGTAGATCTATTTATATCAGAGCGGGGCTGCCAGCAGCTCGTTGGTCACCAATAAAGTTCTGCCTGTTTGGATGGGTGAGATCGGATCAGGGTTCTGGAGCGTTAGTCGTCAAGCTGAGCTGAAGAAGGCACTGAGTTGGACGTGTCTGTCTCTGGGGGATGCTGCTGGTTCTGTGAACTAACTGGGTTCAGTTAGAACCGGCTAGGGCTGGTTCTGTCTGCTCCTGAACAGAACCTATGGCTGGTTCTGGTGATCAGACTGGATCCTCTGTCTAGATCTATTTCTT